ATAGATAGATAGATAGATAGATAGATAGATAGATATCCCATACCACACCACCTTCCACACACACACCGCATGTTTCCTGTCTCCAGTAGGAGGAGGGAAGGGGCGTGGTCAGCAGTGCTTATTACAGCAGTGCGTAAAAGCGCAGCCTCTCCACAGTTGGGACAGCAGAGCAGCTCTGGACGTCTAAGCTCTCTAGGCGGAATAAATCTAAAAATAAAAAATAAAAAAAAGAGAAAGGAAAGACAAGACATCCAGACGGGAAAAAAGTTGGAGAAGAGAGGATATTTACTGGAATACAACCTGTTGCTGCTTTACTTTATATCTAAGCTGGCTGCTGTTTTTAAAAGATTGGACACCATGAGGATTTTCCCCGTTGCGCTGCTGCTTGTTCACAGTCTGGGTAAGTGTTCAGACAGCTCCTATGGAGGGTTTTTATTTATTTTATTTGCTTTGTCCAAATGGAACAGGTTTAGCATCTATTTTTCTTTTGCTCTCATATTTTACATGAGTTGACAGTTTTTAATCAAATCCCTGAATCAAATCTTAATATTTTAACGTGAAATTAAAACTTAAATTGTTTTCCACGTATGTATCAGACTGTTCTGGAGCTAATGGGGTCATCTTTCTATTTTAGAGCAAGCTTTATGTAACAAGATACATTTATTTTTAACCCATATTCTTACCATGTCATTAGCTAAGAGTATATCTATGCAATTTGGGGGTGTGAATGTTTGGGTCTTACATAAAACTACATTTAAATCCCAAACTACATAAATATTAACCATCTGCTGTAGTCTCTGGATCAAAGCCCAATAAGTCAATTTACTCATTACCAAACATGGAACAGTAGTGTTTTTTTTAAATATAAAATCCTCCCCTGCTACTCCCACCTGAGGCTTCCCTGAGTGCGACATGTCTAAACTTGCCCAGCGAGTTCCCTCTAGGTAGAGTTTCAGTTCATGGAATTTTTCCCTTGAAGGCCTCATCTTCTGTTTTATACTTTTTTTGTTAATTTCTTTTCATTAAATCCCAGTATTTTTCCCCTTCTCTTTCAAGTTATGTCCAGACTGGCCAGTGGGGCTGCCGTGGACAGGTACGAAGGCGAGAGGCAGCGGCACACGTCTGTCTTCAACCTTATGGAAACCACCAGGGACAACAGAGTGGAGGAGGAGCGGCACACAGGTGCCACAACAGTACAGCACGGCCAGGAAGGCCAGGAAGACGAGTATGATGACGAATACTACTACGATGATGAGGCCGAGGAGGAAATGTCTGGAGACTATGACATGGATCTGCCACGAGGTAAGGCAGCAACCTGAGTTATATTAGCAAAACCTGTAGTATATCTTCTTATTCTTTTGTTTTTAATCACAAAAGTTACCGACATTTGAGTGGACCAAAGAAATCAGCCCTTATCATGAAAGCAGCTCAACAAACAGTGTAGACAATCTCTCAACTTCCATTAGTATAGCCATATTTGCTCTGTTACGGTGGAAGTCTTCTTAGAGTACCCTCCCTAATCACTGTAAAGTCCTCAGGCACTACTGAGAGATCAATACCCTGAGAACTTTCTCAGTACACCTGCGTCTAGTCCCAAACAGCCGTATAGAAATGTATTTTGTGTGGACTTGCTTGTTTGAAGTGAGGTAAACGCCTCAGATTTAGTCCGTATGAGAGGAGTAAATTGGCAGTCAAGAAAAGTATTGGCGCTTTGCTTAATTTGAGAAGGGAATATCAGTGTGAAAAGCTCAAGTCTTACCGTCAAAAGTCTTAGTCTAGAAGAATAAGAGCTGGATAATCTTCAAAAAACTGGACTTTACTCATTGTTTCTTTTTTCTTTTTTGGTTTAGTCGCGATGTCAAGTAAACCCAAAGACCCTTCATCTTTACTGGAGACCGAAAACAAAGAAACAACACAAAGAAAGGGAAAGGGGAGAAAGAAGGGGAAAGGCAAAGGAAAGAAGAGGAATCCCTGCCTGAAAAAGTACAAGGACTTCTGCATTCACGGCACCTGCCAGTACCTCAGGGAACTCCGTGCCCCGTCCTGTATGTAAGTACCAAACGTCTGCCATTACTTGGATATCGTCTACAGAAATAACATTGAACAATGTCATCTGATCGATGCTTTGGTTTGTTTGTAGCTGCGAACCAGATTACTCTGGTGAGAGGTGCCAGCTTTTTACGCTGCCTTCGCATACCCCAGAGGGCTACAGCAGAACCACGGCCTTGGCGGTGATTGCTGTGGTGCTTTCGTCCGTCTGCCTCACCATCATTGGCTTGCTATTAATGCTGAGGTAAGTAAAATAACCTACATCGTATGCCTTCAAGAAGAATCAAGAAGTGAAATATTTGAACTAATCCCCCCCCTTTTTTTTTTTAGATTTCACAAGCGTGGAGCGTATGATGTAGAGAGTGAGGAAAAGGTCAAGTTAGGTCTTGCGTCCAGCAACTGAAAACACAAATGGAGGTAAGTGGTGAGAATTGAACTTAGAATTATACTTTAACTACCAGCCTCTTTACGCTTCATTAACCCAATGAATTTCTTTTGCCATTTCAGTCATGAATGCAAAAATTCTACCTCAACTGGAAAAAAAAAAACAGAAGTGTACTGCGACAGGAGTTCCAGGAAGAAGGATGAACGTACGTGGAGATGAGAAACGCGCTCAGAGGGACGTTCAGTTTCAGATCGACTGCGGCCGACTCGATCGGCGTCCCCGCAGTCGTCCAGGAGAGTAGAAGGCTTCCACTGGGAAGCAAATTACTTAACGGCCAATAAGGATGGAATCGGCAGGAAGTAAAGAAAAAGGAGGGATGATGTTTAGACTCTGCTCTGCTTCTTGACTGTGTGAAAAGAAAAACCTTTTCGAGTGGAGCTGAAAAAATGTTAAAACAGCAAGTATAGCTAAATCTGGACTCTATTTCTCTCATGAGAGAAGATTTTGTATTTTCCTGCAAATCTCTTTTTCTGTACAGTAAACGTTATATTTATAAGTTTAATTTATTTATTTAAATGTATTTATAGGGATTGTATTCCCTCTAGTAGTTTTTAAAATTCTAATGTTACAATTCTTTTTATATTTGCTATTGAACAATATTTATAAAAACAACAGAAAAAGAAAATCGCAAGAGCTCTTTGATTGAATCAGATTTTTATTTTTTTTCTTCTCCATTTATTCAGCTTTATTTAAGATAAACCCATAAATAAGTGATCCAAAGAAGTACAGGTAACAAACACCAAATAAATGTTTATTTTTTAATTTAAAAAGAAAATTCTGTTTATTTTGTTATGGTGTGAACGGCATTCTGGAAGCTTCCATCTCATACCAGGTGGGCTGGATTATTAGGCAGGGAAACCAATAGATCTAGAAGGGTTTTGGGCCTTTGATGAATGGCACATAAGAGTTAAAGATTAGGGGGTGCACCTTTCCCTCACCCGTCTTTATCCTGCAGGCTCAGGAATCATAAGGCCAGAAAATAAATCTTTGGTTTCTTAAAAACAGGTCAGTAAAGGTTTTTTATTTTTTTTAAGACCTCTGCACCAACTTTTTGAATGGGCTAGCTTCTTTTCTTTTAAAACAATGAGAACAGAGTCCAGTATGAAAAAAAGTTTAGATGTTGTTTTTTGTCTTATTGGAGGAGAAAGTGTCAAGCTGTCAAAGAGAAAATGTGAATTAAAGTGTTCGACCCTTTCAAATCATGATCCACAAATTTTGAAGTGATTTGTGATTGATTTGTTCACTGCAAAATAAAAGGATATTACTATTATCGAGAGCTTCTGCTTCATTATGTTTCATTATGTTGGTCTGGATTTTCAATTCAGGACGTGACAATCCTGGGTGTTTAAATAGAACAGTATTTGGAATAATTTGGCGTCTTTAAGACATTTGACCTTTTACATTAAGCACTTCTTTAGTTCTGATCATTAAAAAGGCTTATAAACTAGAAACATTGGTGTTTAGTCATCATTTTTAGCTGCTCTCACCTGACAAAAAGGACCCAGATGTTTCACGCACTTCCATTAATCTCTTTAGCAGGGCCAACTTTATTTTCTCTCTGTCTTCAACTTCCTGACTTGGTCCACTTATTAATGGCTCTACACAGATACCATCAGTTTCCTCTTTTCTGGTGTAATTATAGTAAACATAATATTTTGATTTCCTCTCCCTGTGACGTATTTGCAACCTTTATTAGCCACGGCACCTGTATCCTGACCTCCTATGTCCTGCTGCATTTAAAAGGCAAATATTTTTAGTTTATATATGAAGTCATAAAGCTAGTTTTGGTAATCTGAGGATGGCTATATAATTGTAAAATTAAATATATTCTATAATGTTTGCTTTCCTTGCTTAAAACTGCTTCGTCAAACGTGTTGATTGCATCATAAGTTTCAGTAAGAGATCAATCTTGGTCATTATAATAGAATGTTTCTTTCTTTTAATAGGGAGGCTCTTTAAAGCAGACTTTTTATCTCTGGTTCCAAAGTCTGCTGATCATACCTCAGCGTGACACTGTAGACCAATCAGAATCCTATCCACCATATCCAGATTTAAATATAGACTCATTTACACAGCAGTTAAAAAAAAGTGAAATCAGATTTTTAATTGGAAATGATGGCGGTTTGCTAACGTGATAGAACTGAAAAGCTGTTTAAAAATGCCTTTAAATGAATGTTATCTTCCTCTCTTCTCCCTCTGCCTTTGTTGTTCTTTTCTGGTCTTAATTTAATGTTTCAGCTGATTAAACACATTCTAATATCAGCACTAAGCAATGGAAATACAAATTCATTCATTATATTCAAACTCCCTATAATGTTGGTTATGTATATCTTACAATGGGGAAGATCTGTAAGCCAGTGTTGTAGTACTCGAGATCGGTCTTGGTCTCTAGACCGGTCTCAAGACCAGTTTTTGATGGTCTCGGTCTCGTCTCGGACTTGACCGCATTTGGTCTCGGTCTTGTCTCGGTCTCGGGCGCTAAGGACTCTGCATTTTATTTCAAGACCGGTCAAGACCACAACTGTGGAAATAACGCTGATCGTCAGAATATTATCAGTTTCTTTAAGATCCTTCTTTTTATTGGATGCTTGGATTCAAACCCATTGGTAAATGCATGTTTTTTTTGTTTTTTTTTTGTTTGCGCGGGCTGCAGCACCTCGATTGAAAGTCACAAGTGGTTGTCTGAGAACGGGATAAGATGTCGGCCAAATCATCGATATAAAATTCGGCTATTTAAATCACAAAGAATATATTTGTAAAGCAACATTGAGAAAAAAGCATACAGCGCAATGTAAGTTCTGCAGTGCTTCACTAACAGAGACAGTGGGGACTACGTCCAACTTATTACTTAAAAGATGTTTATGTTTATTCCAGTTCTGTGTGTTAAATATCTAGGTGTTTTTAATGTGAATGTGAGTCTTTCAGATCAATTTTAGTGATTTTGATCATGTTTCACATTTTATTGTCACATACTGGCGCTGGTCTTGGTCTTGACTTGGTCTCGGACCCTAAAAGTCTTGGTCTTGTCTCTGTCTCAATACACTCTGGTCTTGGTCTTGTCTTGGTCTCGGGTTAGCTGGTCTTGACCACAACACTGCTGTAAGCAGGCAAACATTTTCACAGCATTGTAATGCTGGACCAAGCTTAACGTAAATTAACGGCTCTTCTACGTATAGTTAAAAAAAATCTCATCGTGAATTAGAATTCACATTATGAAACTCTTTTTTTTTTTTTTACTGTAAAATGGGTGTACCACACAGATTTAATCTAGGCCCACTGCTCTTTTATTGCCATCATCTCCTGAAATGTCAACGCAAAGGGTGCAAAGAACAGGGAAAATGACGTAGCCTCACTATGTTTTGATAAAAATGTTCTCCAAAATGCACAAAAACCTGCAACAACTCAACATTTATGGAGCTGTGAAAGTAATTAGAGGTTCAAAGGTTCACTTTATTTGGCAGAGCGGGTCTGCAACGCTGAGTCACTGTTGATGTGGTGGATTGATATAGCCGGTGGGCTCAGCCACTGTAACTTCACACGGTCATTGTTCGACTGGACAAAAACAGTGCCAAATATAACAACAATGTCCTTTGATATTGCAGGCTGTTAATTCCCACTTAGACCGTTTTATATCCCACTCATATGAACATTTTCAATGCCAGTGAAGAGGCATCACTGTAGAATCCAGAGTAAAATAAAAATAGAGCTATGAAGGGCTGAAACTCAATATGTTACACAATCAAATTTGGGTAGACCTCTTTTTAATTAACGGTTTGATTAGTTTTCTTCCATTTACTTTTAATTTGAAAGTTTTTACATTCAAGGTGAAACTGAGGCTTAAAAAAGACAAATCTGCAAACACTAAAAACACGCCGGCACAGCTTAGAATGACCTGCACTTTTATTCTTCTCTGCCGATAATCTTCTTGATCGATTCTATATGTGTATGTGTCAAATTTAACTAAGTTTAAATAGCTTTTTATAATATTTATATTTTTAAATTATAACATTTTAAACACATAAGCTGAGACTGGGTCTAAAAAATGAATATCTATGTTGGATGGCTCTCTGTGTGGTTCTAATAGCAATTTATTTGACCTTTTTTTGTTGCTTTTTTTCTATGTCCTGCCTTGATTAAATAAAATTCTCCAAATAAAAAGCAGCCCACTGTGTGGGAGCTTGAGAAAGCAAACATTTTGAGTAGCAGATGTGAAGAAGTGTAAACCAGAGAACACCTGATACTCGGCTACCAGAACGTCACACTGCAGCCTCACGTACTTTATTACTCACACAAGCAAACAGCTGTTGTGTTCAAAGGGACAGGCGGTGTAACATCAGGAGGCACAAGAGCGTCAAAGAGGTTCAGAGAGACCATGAAGGGCAAGTACCGGCAGCCATAGCGGCTGTCATGCTTGCCTGCACGCAGGTTTTTTACAGAGGTAGCGATGATAAAAAGCCCCAGCTGGACTCAAACCCAGCCTGAGTTTAGTCATCCCTTGAATTAACTCCTACACGGATGTTGTTACACCAGTTCTGTGTATGTGTGTTAATTTGGTGTGTGAGTGGGAATGCCTCAACTCTGACTATATGTGGTTAAAACCAAAACCATTAAAGGCATAAATCCACTTTAAAACATACATGTTTACCAGCTGATGCCCCTCAATTCTGTTTTTTAGTTTGACTTTATGCTTTTTATATTTAAGGAGCAAACAAGATATGATAAATGTGGTTGATGGTGGTTAAAAAGCAGATTTTCAGCCTGACCAAGGGTGTGGTATCTGTTTCAAAATGCACTGGCTTTCATCATAACATCTGTTGAGAAACTAAAAAATAGAAATCTTTGTTTCTTTTCAGGAAGAAATAGCAAAAAAAACAAAAAAACATTTAATTTATATGATTTTAGTCCTTCAGGGTTATAGCATCTACACATTTTTCAGGGTTTATCTAATGAACCAAGAGAAAACAGCGTACAGTATAACTGTGAAGTTGACCAAAAAGGTCCAACAAATAAAACTTTAAAGTGTGCACTGGAAAAAATCAAAATCTAGACAAGTAATTTTTTCTTAAAATAAATGCATTTGTTCTTAAATTTACATTTAAATTAAGAAAATACAATCGTGTGGTCTTATTTCAAGTGCATTTATCTAATTATCCTATTTTAAGAGTAAAAATATTCATTCCATTGGCAGATCATTTAATTTACCTACTCAAATTAAGGGTAAATACACTTAATTTAAGACATTTTTATATATTTCTAGATCGTTTTTCCAGTGTGGTGAACCTCTGTATCCTAATACCCTAATGTAGACAAACCTGTGCTATTCCTGCTGAAAATCTTTGCAATATTTCTCTGTAAGCTTTGCAGGTGATGGAAATAATTGCCCATTAGTTTTTGCAAAACTTGATTCCAGGATTCAGCCGGATTTTCGTGGAAACACTGCAAAAAGAATCTAGAAATAGTACAAATGTCTTAAATAATTGTATTTACTCTTAATTTAATTAGTTAAATAAGATGATTTGCAAATGGAATTAATGTTTTTAACTCGAAATAAGATAATTAGATAATATGCACATAAAATAAGACAATGCACTTGTTTTTTCTGCCTTAACAAGTGCCATTTTTTTTTCTTCAAATAAGTGCATTTTGTAAATTGCACTTGCGCTTGTGTCCAAAGTGGCCAGTGGGGCTGCCGTGGACAGGTACGAAGGCGAGAGGCAGCGGCACACGTCTGTCTTCAACCTTATGGACAACAGAGTGGAGGAGGAGCGGCACACAGGTGCCACAACAGTACAGCACGGCCAGGAAGGCAAGGAAGAGGAGTATGATGACGAATACTACTACGATGATGAGGCCGAGGAGGAAATGTCAGGAGACTATGACATGGATCTGCCACGAGGTAAGGCAGCAACCTGAGTTGCTCTACTTGTGTAAATTTTTGAAGAAAAAAAATTACAAATTTAGATTTGTTTTTTTGCAGTGAATTATTTCTCAAATTTGATTACTTACTGTTTATTTGTTGTATTGGCCTGGATGTATTTCCAAGCTGTCCATTTTTGCTCCAAAACAGTTCATATCATTTGTTTCCAGCCTCTGTGTTAGGT